ATTATTTCATAAAACGTCTTTGSTATATGTTCTCTATCAGCATTCTGCCTCCAGGGCACAGAATTGTGGACATGGCATCCCTGTCTTTTATCACAATTCCAGTCAAGGGGGCCTTTATCATGCATTCTCTGCACAGGTCCTGGTGTGAGCAAGGGTAAGTAGTTATGCCAGGACAGCAGGCTTTATGCTAGCACTAGCCCAGGCAAAGTGGAACATATGCTCACTCTGTTTCTAGCTCACACAGGTTTCTATCCAAAACAAAGAATGCATACAGGTTAAGATGCTTACATTTAATCAACAAATATTTACTGAATCTACTCTGTTGCAGGCATTAAATTTGGCTAGAGATCCAGCTGTACACCAGAGCAAGCTCCTGCATCTTAGTTCTCAGAGAGTTTATCTTCTAATGTCTTTTCTTTTCTCTTTCTTTCTTTTCTTTTCTTTCTTTTTTTTTTTTTTTTTTTTTTTTTTTTTGGTACCAGGGATTGAACTCAGGGGCACTCAACCACTGAGCCACATCCCTAGCCCTGTTTTGTATTTTANTTTTGGTACCAGGGATTGAACTCAGGGGCACTCAACCACTGAGCCACATCCCTAGCCCTGTTTTGTATTTTATTTAGAGACAGGGTCTCACTGAGTTGCTTAGTGCCTTGCAGTTGCTGAGGTTGGCTTTGAACTTGCGATCCTCCTGTCTAAGCCTCACGAGCCGCTGGGATTGCAGGCGTGCGCCATCGCCCCCGGCATTCTTTTTCTTCTTTTTAATTTTTTGCTAAGGCCTTTTTACAGCCAAGGAAAAAATGCTTTTCTAAACTTAGAATAATGTTTTTAAGATGAAATTGTAGTGAAAAGGAGTTTGTACATGAAATGAAAACTTTAAGACAATAACTAGTGTAAGGAAACTTTTTTCTTAGCTATAGAAATAGTCAAGCTCACACTGAAAACAAAGAATCCTAAAATGAGCCTTATAGAGCCCAAAAGGCCTCAAGAGAGGTCATGTCTGTCTTTTGCAGGGTTTCCAAAGGCAACAAAGTCCTCACAGGATATCCACACGATCATGAATTGCTCTAATGCACACCCTTGGCATCTATCTATGGAAGCTATAAAAGTGAGATGATGTGAAAATCTTTTAGAGCAATTGACAATGTCTGTGGGTAACACCCATACGGAGCTCTGATCCTCACAGCTAATAATAAGAGAATCTGTTACTTTTTAGGTAATTCTGGAAATAAACTAAAACTGGTGCTGGGGATAYAGCTCAGTGGCATTGGCCTAGCATGCCCAAGGGCCAGGGTTTCAATTTCCAGAACCAAAATAAATTAAACAAATAAAAGGAAAACATTCCAAACAAGTTTTAGCTCAAATATTAAATAGAACATACTTTCTTCCCACTCTGCACTTCTCTTTTTTTAAAAAATTTTTTTGGAGGGAAGGGTACCAGGGATTGAACCTAGGGATGCTTAACCACGAAGCCACATCCCTGTACCTTTTTGTTTTTTATTTTGAGACAGGATCTAAGTTGCTTAGGGCCTCGATAAGTTGCTGAGGCTTGTCTAAAACTTGTAATCCTCCTGCCTCGGCCTCCTAAATTGCTGAGATTATACCACCATGCCTGACCAGTTGTTTTTTAAAGTAAACTGTTCCATTCTCAACACCCTAATGTTTACTAAAATAGTATCTATTAATGGGTCAGAAGAATATTGCCCTYGGGCTGCACTTACCTGCACTGACTTTCCAAAACTGTCACTTAGGGGCTGAGAAACTTCTAGGGACCACCTACTTCTTGGGGACAGAACAGGAACAAAATCTACAGAGCTGCTGATTTCTAATGGGCCACACCTCAACACCCTCATTTCTTAACCATCTTTGTGACCAATGTTTACACCTAAAGGAATCAGCAGTACCATAATAGGAAGATAGCATTAATTATGTTTCCTGTTAAAAAATCCAGTTCAATTTTTAATTTCCTGGCTAAGGAAGAGTACTATTACTTCTTTGAAGTCTTTAAATTTTGCTTTTGTCTTTTATCAGTTCTAACACAATAGTATTTTTTAGAAAACATTTTAAATGGATATATATTCAGGTCTCATGATTTCCAAAATATATATTCACACACTACTTGCCAAAACATGTCTTTCAATAAACCATTTCCTTAATCCTTAGGGATGTGGTGAAATCTATTTCCATGATAACTCCTCATTTATCATAATATTATTCCTGTGACTTCAAAAATCTAAATTCCTTCTCATTACACAGCCATTATAAACAAACAATTATCAGGAAAGAACATAAGCCCCAAATCCAGTCATTTTAGGGATTTCTGGCCTACAGAGAAGTTCTCCCTTACATCCAAAGGTAGGAAAACTCACTCTGGTTACCAGTCAACAGCAAGTCCAAATGTTTTTGGTCTGTCATCAAAGGATGACAAATCCATTTTAACTCTGCAGGTAACCTTGAAACAAACTGCTCAAAAAGAACCAAAGCATACAAGTCCAAAAGCACACGTGACAATGATGGTAACCTATAACTACACATTCACAAGGAGGCACAGGAACAAGGGTGCTAATGGAAAGTCCAATGTGAAAGCTGCCTTCCATACATGAAGGGCCACAGACAGGCAGATCTCTTTGAAACCTACAACCCACCAGATCTCCATTTACCAGGTATCACTCTGAAGAGGGCTCCTGCCAAATGGTGTGATTGTTGCTGCTGGTTCCGTGCTGGCATTCAGCAGGTCTGACCCTTGGAACTCATAGCTCCAGGCCAGGGCAGAATTTAACAGTATGAAAGCCTAAGAGCAGCCACCTGATGAGCAGTTCCATGATCATCAGCTGCAAGGAGAGACCCTTTAATTCATGAGACTTCATTCTCTCATCATTCAAGTCCCTTTCTATTGTCCCTCTTTCCCTCCTATAAACAGTATGTGGTTCCTACACTGTCCCCTGACAACAAACAAGTCCATCCCTGTTGCTTACAAAAGAATGATCCCTGCATGCCTTCACTATCAATCCACACCAGTGCCAGATGCCTGTGGTGGTCAAGGTGGCTTCTAAGACCTGGTGCTAAAACCCACGCATCCGCCTGTTGGGAGGAACAGGTGCTCTGTCTACTGCCTCTCATGTCTCCTCCTTCTTCTCTGGAGACTCATCAGGGGTGTAACACTCTCTAATACTGCAGCAGACCAGGATGATGTGTTGTAAGCCACTCTCTCATGCAGCTCCCATGTGACCAGAGAGAGAGACCATTGAGAAATCTAGTCAGCCACACTATCTGGGGGCAGGCCAAATCCCACCAGAATTGGAAACATTCTGAATTGTGGAAGGAGGAGTCTGCTTTCATTAAAATAAACACAATTCCCCAAGTCACACTGAATCCCAGGCCACAGTAACCCAGAGCTTTTCCTAGGTTCAATCATTTTGAAATATTTTCAGAAAGATTTCCTAGGAAAATTGCATTCACTTTCTAAGTACTACTGCTAATCAATAACAGCTACTGGCTGTGCCATGTGTCACACAGGCATCCTTTTACACCTTCTTGCAACAACACTGTAACATGAAACAATCCACCATTGAAAGATGAGGAAACCTAAGATCAAAAGAGTCCATGACATGCCCCAGTCTCACAATCTGTCACTGAACAGTTTAATAGCAAAGCTACTTTATCTGAATCGGGGAGGGGAACTTTTTACTCAGTAAGAATTTTCTTCATAGAAAAAATAAAAAGTCAAGCTGGTTCTTCAAATTTGGCTAAAAAGGTAAGTATCTGAGAATTTCAGAAATTTCTAGAACCTCCACGTTCTACTCAATCAACTTTAAAAGTTCTTTTATTAAGCCGAGCAAGGTGGCATACGCCTGATATCCCAGTGGCTTGAAAGGCTTAGGCAAGAGAATTGTGAGTTTAAAGCTTCAAAGACAGTCTCAGTAATTCAGTGAGGCCCTAAGCAACTCAGTGAGACCCTGCCTCTAAATAAAATATWAAAAGGGCTAGAAGCCAGGCATGGTGGTGCAAACCTGTAATCCCAGTGGCTCAGAGGGCTCAGGCAGGAGGATCACGAGTTCAAAACCTCAATGAGACCCTATCTCTAAATAAAATATAAAATAGGGCTCAGGATATGGCTTAGGGGTTAAGTGCCCCTGGGTTCAATTCCCATTACTCTCAACCCCCCTCCTCYAAAAAATCTTTATTAAAGAATATTACAACCAAAAACAAATTGAAGACACACAAAAAAAGACATAAGAGCACTGATTATGTCCATMACAAAATGATATAGCACTTGGGAGGGGTTTAAAAAAAAAATTCCCGGGCTGGGGTTCTAGCTCAATAGCAGAGGCTTGTCTGGAATGCATCAAGCCCTGAGTTCAATCCCCAATACCAAAATGAAACAAAATTCCCAGGGCAGAGGGGGTTTATAGTATTTTAAAAAACTGATCACTAACTGCAGACTACAAAGGGCAAAAAAGAACTGTTTCAGAGTCACACCAAGGGAAGGTCAGCAAGAACTATAACATTAAAACAAATCATCAATAATGTAGCATGCCATAACACTTGAGGAAAATGAGATTTTATATACATGGGATTTCTGGACCCCTCTGTAAACAACTCAGATCAACAAAGCACACATAAACATTCACTGAGTCCAGACTCTAGGCTGCCTCTGTTGCAGTAAAGAGTGTCCATGAAAAAAGAAAATGGAAAGATAAGTCTGGTTGTTTCCTAAAAAATCATTAAAATCCTTTTTACAAATATCTGAATACACAGTTTTGGTGCCTGTGGTAGGAGAGGTAAGAAGTGGAGGAGAGAAAGGATTTTAGGAAGGTTGTTTTCTTACAAAATCCTTATTCCACAGAATCAGATGGTTCAGGATTATTTCTTGAGAACTTTCTTCAGCAGAATTCCCCAGCTGTAAAAGTCCAGGTCTTTCTCCATTGCCCAAACATGAACGCACAATTTCTCCTCTTGGGAGAAGATTATGCTGGAAATTAGTGTTGCATAAATACCGTTACCTTTTCTGGTGAAAAACTCCTTGGAATATTTCCCCAACATAGCGTATTTTCGAGGGACTTTCCCCAGCAGTTCAATGATCAATGCTATGTGATCTGCATTGGGAAACATTGCCAGCAAAACAGAAACACACGACAGTTTAATCAGTACACTGCATGCAGACACTACCATCGCCCGCGCAGACAGAAACAGAGCGCGACCTGAATGATCAAAAGCATAGGCTTTCCCCATGCAGCTGGATTCAGGACCCAGAGCTGGAGGGCACCCAACTGTCCCGGGCCCCAGGGAGGGGCCAGTACACAGGGCGACCGCAGCACAGGCCAAACAGGGTCTTCCCATTGACTTTTTTAAATCAGCACAGGAATTCTGTTGGGTTGCATTTGGAATTTAGAAGAAATGCCTTTGTCACCATAACACTGCAATCAGCAGCTGCTATTCCGTTTCTGTCTGCATCGTGGCGCTTTTCAAAAAGAAGAGGTACTACCTCTGCGATTGAAGAATTCCCGAGAATATTTTCCAGATAGAGCAAAGTGCCTTGGGATACTGCCTAGCAGCTCTATGATGTGGGCTATGTGGTCTATGGAGGAGAGAAAAAAAGGATATGGGAATGGGAGGGGCAAGGGGAAGGATGGGATAAAAGAAGAGGGAAAAAAGCGAAAATTAGTAAAAAATCAGAAATAGACTCAAATCAACAATGTCTGCAGCACATCCATGCAGAGGCTCGTGGGACTAGCAGGCCTCAGGCACCCTCCGGAGTGTCCATAGTGACTGATGCCAGCTCACCCCAGGCCACCCCAGCACTGCAAGCAAGTAAGCATGGAGATGGTCAGGCTTACAGATGGAATTCAAGCCAGAATTCCCTGGTTTTCAACTCAAGCGCTCAAACAGGACAGTAAAATGGGCAGCAGATCAGTGGACAAAAGGACTCCGGAGAGGCTCTGCAATTGTTCAGTCTGCCCTCTCCCACCAACAAGGTGCCTGCACTGAGGAAGGCCAGGAGCAGAGCAGCCTGAGGCCCGAGGGCTCTGCAGAGTGCTGCCTGTGCCAGGCAGGCACTGCCCATTCACTGAAACTGAGGGACTGTAAACCCAAAGAAAAGCATCTGAATTTGGTGTTTGAAAACCAAAACATGGCTCTATTTTAGTAAAAACACAATACTCTCTAGAAGTTCAGGACAAGAAGTAGACCCAGACTGAGGTCTTCAGAAGGCAACACTCACCTTCATCTCTGGAATAGTCTTCCCCAGAATGTGGTTCGAACAAATAATCTCCTGTTGCCAGCTCAAATGCCTAGGACACAACAGACGACATGCTGAGCATTTCAGAGACTGGCCCCCACACCAGCAGCTCTAAGTTCTCTCCTTACAGAAGAGACCTACATTTTATTAGGATCTCGATCAAACAAAAGAACCTCCTAAAACTATTTAAATCTCTTGTTTCTTTCTTCCAAAAAGTTCAAAGAAACTTCAGGAACATTTTTACAGCTCTTCCAATGGAAGATTTAAAGGCCATGAATTCTCTTCGTTGTAGGAAGCAGAAACAAACTTATGAGTCAGCAGCACCTGTGTGCAGGCCCAGTGGCAGCATGCCACAAATTCTGTAAATGGCAGAAAGAGGGCTCAACCCAGGATTCAATCAGGCCAGTCCAAGGCCTTTCCTCACCATCAGGCTAACCTGTGGTCCCTATACAGCAGATGTTGCTGCTTTCTTTAGGCAAAGACCTTCACACATGAGTAATTAATGATTATCTGCCAGCATCTTGTCATCATTTCCTTCATCTCTGATTCAAGGTAAAGAAAACCTAGAACCAAGAAAAACCTTCCTCTGTTCCTGGAACCAAATGAAGCATATCACCTTACAAGCCCTGCTGAGGTTATGCAGGAGAGCTGCTCCCCAGGTTGCCACCTGCTACCCCTCAGCATGCCAGTGTGTGGAGCAGGTCATTTGTTTCCATTTTCCTTGATCAAAGAAAAAACTCAGGATCATGGGTTTAATCTGGTAACAATATACAAAGACAGCAACTGCTATTACTCTGCTGACCAAATACCATGTTTTTAAATTCAAGAATACATTAAATCCCCTTTCAAATATCTCCCATACTTATTGCCACTCTAAAAGAGCTCCCCTCTTCACTGGTGCCTGGGGATCAATGGCCATGCCCTCCCCAAGGAGGCCCTCCAGTCTCCTGCTGAGACCCCAACATAGCCAGGTGTGCAGGACATTAGCCAACCAATGACCAGAGTAGACGGCCCCTCAAAGGAGGGCTCATCTACCTGGGTAAGGGTCCATCATAACAGCTCTGTCCTTAAGAGTGGGCAAAATAAGCATGGGACTATATCCCACCCTCCCTACACACACCTTTTATTTTTTAATTATTAAAAGAATAAAAGACCTATGCATCAGTTGCAGGAGAGAAACAGGGTTGAAAAGACTGTTGCCATTTACCCTGTGATGAGCACCAGTTCATAACTCAGGATCCCTGCCTTCAACGAGATCTGGGTCTGAGCAGCACACAGTCATGTCAGTCTCAGGAAAGGGAGAGCCAACCATCTCAGTAGTTGCAGATGGACTAAGGTATGAAAGGGTCCATGGAGGTCCCCACCCAGGGCCTCTCTTCTCCACTAATAAGAATAACAGCAGGGCCAATCCCCAATCAGGAAACAAACACCTCCCTTTTGTCTCCAATTTCGAGTGGAACATATAGATTACATAAGGCCCAAAGAGTCTCTGTAGTTGCCAAACAATTAATTCAATACTTTATAAGCCAGGAGGAAAACGGGAACTCCCTAATTGGAGGAGGGCCTGAGAAGCTGCCTGGATGGCAGCTCCAGCAGAACTCTGGCTCTGCTTTTACCCCTCCATAATCCTGGGTTCACTCTTGCTTTAAGATGACAGTGCTCCAATAATGATGTCTGGTTCTGATTCTCTGGACGTTGACTATGTTTTTGAAACAAATTCAATAAGCACAACAGGATAAACATACAATACAATAAAACATCAGCCTTTGTGATTCACAAAAACCTTTCATGTTGGCAACTATGAAAATATGAAACAGTACTACTTCCAACTCACTAAGCTACTCCCAATATAAACCATATTATTATCATTTTTACTTCTTAACACTTGGGAACTTTGGATTCTTCCTTCTGTCTTGGCCTCGTCTTCTCAGATGGCTTTCTTCAGAACAGCCTCTCATCTCATTACTTCCTGTGTCAAAGTGCCAGTTCTGAATAAGAAGCTCACCTCTTTGCTCCATGATGTGCCCGGTGCTGAGGAAACTTGAGGTTTTCAGAGTCGCCTTTATTACATGGCATTGACCAAGACTCACCATAGAGCCCACAAAAGTTACCTACTCAGGACTATGACCCACAAGTGCAGAAAACAGCACCTCTGCCCAAACCAAATTTTTAGGTCATACACTACACAATTAAATCTGGAAGGGCCCTGAAGTTCAAGGAAAGGAAAATAAATCCAGCAACTGACATTCCAGCTAGTCTGCCTCATTTGATTATGCTTCTCCAGTTTCGAGCCCAAAACTCTCTTCCCTGACAACAGCATGGGCACCGGCCACTATCTGCCAGCTCTTAGTTCTGATGGAGCTTCTGCCATAGTTGATACTATTTATAAAACTGGAAGGACTAAAGGCTTTACCACCAAGAATAAACTGTGGTAATGCTTAGTATTATGAGGTCAAATTTCATATGCTGCAGCAGTATTTCTAAGCTTCAGAGAAAGTGTAGAGGTGAGGAAACACTGCCTCCTCTGTCAGGTCACATTCTCTAGGAAAAACAAAAGGATCTCTCAGCTGCATCCCTCAGGCAGTGAATGAAGGCTTGGCCCCAGAAAAACTATCCTCTGACAACCACCTGGTGCGAAAGAACTCCTGGAAGCAGCCCTAGCAGCACTGTGGGAGCCACATGCAGTCCCTGGGAAGGAGGCAGGTGAGAGGAGACACAGCGTGTTTGGGGTTAGGATCCTGTGATTTGTTTACTACATGTGAACACAGTTCACACAGTGGACAGGGGTATGGTGTGCAGAGACAAATTTGAACAGGATGCAAGTCAAACAAACTGGCATAAGATTGCCCACCATTATCCCTGTATCTGGGATTTTTGTCCTATTTTTCTGGTTATATCACAAAACTTTAATATCCCAAATTAGAAGCATAGGACTTCAGAGTTGAAAGTGTTCTCAGAGCCTAATTCAGGGCAGCCTTGATACATGGCCTTCTGTTGCTAGGGACAAGTGCAGCTTGGTTCGCCACCTTCTGAAATGGGTCATTGCTTCCCTGCAGCCCAACTGTTCCAAGCACTCCCTTCCCGCTGACCTGGACTGCCTCCTGCAGCTTCTAGCCTCCACCTTGTTCTGCCTTCCAGTCACACAGAGCGCGCAAAGGCCTCTCCACACAGCAGGCTCTAAATTCAAAGCAACCACCACATGACTGCCAGTTCTTTCAACCATTCTGGTCCAAAATTTACTAAGACAGGACTTGGGTTTTTGAAACTCACTAAAAACTAAAAATTTTAGTTACATTAAAATTATTATTTGGTATTATCTACCAGAGCAACAAGGAAATAGAAATGCATGGTGTTTTAGAGGTATCTTGCCATATATGTGGCCTCAGATGATCCCAACTTGAAAGACACAAAGTATGTACTTTTTCTCATTCTCTGGTCCTATCTGCTTAACACACTGCTTTTACTTGGCATTAGTGGGCATAAAATATAGTAAACACAAAAGAATTATTAAATTAACCTCAAATAACTGAAAATTAAATCAGAGAAGAATTTGGATAAAAAATAATGAGACAAGACAAGCATGACATTCCATACATCCCACCTTTTCAGCAGAGGAAAGACAAAGTAAAACCCACTGGAAGATGCTGAACTAAAAGTGGCTCATGGATGAAGGTCATTGGTATAAATGACCCCCCCCCCAAAAAAAAAAAAACAAATACACTGGTGGAGCTTGAAGAGTTTAGACCCAACTAATGTCATGACACTAAGTGAAAAGAATGACCTCCAGTGCCCCAGGAAAGCATCACCATATTCTCCAAGGCAAAAGACCTGGACCAAGGGCGTATATGCCACTACTGCTGTCTCAGAAGTGACTGTACTCCCCAGAGCAATAAGCCAGAAAAGTCAGAACAGTCTCTAGACTTTGCTCTATGAAGAAAGACATTATGCACTAGTATATGAAGAGATCCCTTCCCTTGCCAGCAGGGGCATAAAAGCAGCTGCTGACATATTCCATCCCTGCACCTGGCAGGGCTCCAACCTTCCAGCCCCAAGCACCCCTACCCTGAGGGATGCCTATTCTCACCACCTCCCCATCAATCATGAGCAAAGGGGGAGCTCTGCACAACACTGAAAGCCCCATGTCACCCCAAATGAGTATGATATTTGGGGCGATGGACTGCACAGGACCTGAAGAAGAGACCATCTCTTATAGAACAGAACAAAAATCCTAGACACATCTGAGGATCTGAGGAGATTTGGGGGAGGCAGAGTAGTAACTAGGGGATTAAACTCAGGTGCTTCAGTACTAAGCGACATTCCCTAGTCCTTTTTATTTTGAGATAGGGTTCACTAAGTTGTTTAGGACCTTGCTAAACTGGGGAAGCTGGCCTTAAACTTGCAATCGTCCTGCCCCAGGCTCCTGAGTTACTCGGATTACAGTGTGTGCTACCACATCCAGGTAAACGTCTTCCAATTCTTAAGACACCCAAGGCAGCAATCTCCTAGCTCTCATCCATCCCATGGTTGACAATTTTCACTTTTAGAAAAACTGAGATCTGTGCCCCATCAAAAGCAGTAAAGGGAAAAATTAATTTACAAGAAGAAAATGGCAAAGGCTATCCTTACCATGCATGCTGTACTCCAAATGTCTGCAGGTGTACTGTAGCCAGCTCCTATTAAAACCTCTATGGATCTATACTGACGTGTTTGGATGTCCTCTGTGAAGTGTTTATGCTGGAAAGGAACAGATGCATTACCACAGAGGAACAGTGACATAAAAAAGAAAAATAAAAAGTGTCTTCTCAGAATCATGACCAAAATATTTTAGAAAGAAAACTACTTACCACCCAACAAGCATTTCCCAGGTCAGCAATTTTTACTCTAATTTTATCTGCATTCCGTGGATCCAGGGGGTTCACCAACAAGTCAGCCGCCCGAGTTTTTGCTGGCATGGGCAAACAGTAGCAAGGTTAGTGACTGGGACAAGGGGTTTGCATGTGTGAACACAGTGTTAGCCAGACAGACCACCTCCTGTTTTAGAAGGACAAGGAGATGGTGATCATTTAGGTGGACTAAAGAGAATTAAAAATTTTTGTTTCCATCTCTGGAAAATATTACACAAAGGCGATTAAACTTAGCTACACAGAGGACCCCCAAGGATACCTCTTTATCCCTAATTCCTTTGTCTCAGCCCTAGAACATGCTGGCCTTGCTCCATTCCCTGCCTGTTTTTCTGTGGCTGCTTCTCATCTGATCAGAGGCTATTGCCTCATGGGTCATATCTAACTCATTGGTACATTATCACAAGGAACATAAAGGTAAACAGAATATTGCCATGGCAGCCAGTCACTTCCTACTGACACACTGTTCATCAGACATGGAATGACTACCAGGCCCCTGGTACCTCTACCTTAACACTCACAGCGTCTCCTACAGTTCCTGCTGCCTGGGCTGAACACACATAGGACTAGATTGGTAGTTAATTAACAATATAGATTAAAAGGAGGAACTACTTTATTCTGGTTTAATTATGGACAAGGAAGACTCCAGAACAGACATCTCCTGATATGGCCTGGGCCATAAAGGCAACACATGAACCTGTCACACACTTAGGTCACTCTCAACTCCAGGGTGATGCTAAGGTTTTCTTCACATCAGGCACAAGGCCAGTGGTTCTGGGGCCAAAATAGTTTCTCAGATCATTCCAAACCATGCCTATATGTCAAGCACCATTAACCAAGGGGCAGGTGACATAGAAAAAGAACTTGGTGAGGCCCAGAGAGAAAACCTTGAAGTGAGTCAGCATCTTCATCATCAAATCTCAAACTGCCCTATAAGCTCAGATTTCTGTTAAGAATAAAATGTAACTGGGGCTTTCACTTATTATAAAATAATTTTGAAATAGTATCTATAGACTTTAAAAAGTCTGCTCAAAGCAGGGCATTTAACACCCACCCCAGAGTGTCYTTTTGCTCACTCACAAGGTAGGCACTGCTAACATAAACTACACCAGTTTTTGGTTACACTGAACTATGGAACCTTGGTGCTTAAGGAGGTTCAATTCCTTGACACATACCAGAGAAAGAGAAGAAGGCCAGCTTTGCTAATAGTGAGCAGGGTAGACTATAGCAAGGTCCCCAGGAGTCACAGCATCCACAGGACTCCCAAGGAGGGTTCCACATGATGCTGAGAGAATTCTGGCCAGTGTTTGAGCTCAAGACCTATTCTCAGCTCTTGGATCAACCCAGGCCAGTCAGGCACAGAGGTTCTCCTGGTGCATATAACCTAATCCTACAACCCCTCCCCCTCCCTTTTTTTGGTTACAGGGATTGAACCCAGGGGCACTCAACAACTAAGCCACATCCCCAGCCCTATTTTTTGTTATTTTATTTAGAGACAGGGTCTCACTGAGTTGCTTAGTGCCTTACCATTGCTGAGGCTGGCTTTGAACTCACAATCCTCCTGCCTCAGCCTCCATAGCTGCAGGGATTACAGGTGTGCGCCACTGCACCCAGCTCTGCACCCCACTTTATAAGGAAGCTATCCATGATGGAGCATACCAAAGACCAAGTAGGAAGTGAGGAAAAGAAACACAGGAACTCAGAAAATGATGAGAAAGCAAGCAGCAGAGACCCACAAGGGAAGGCAAAATGTAAAAGGGGTAAGAAGAGTGATAAACATAAAATGCTGACCCAACAGATAAATGGACAACACTAGAAACTACTAGATGAATCCCTCCTATCATCTAATCAAGGAGAATCAACAGGAATTTAAATTTTGCAGAAATGGATTCAAATTTAGTTTTCAACACCTACAAGTTTTAAAACTGACATATATCAAACTCTTTGTGACTCAGTTTTCAGGAAAGGAGGAAATGGAAGAGATCACTTCCTCCCAAAGACACAAATGCAGGAGAGCATTAGGCTGAATGTACAGATCCTGGAGCTTCATTCTGCTGTAACCAGCTGAGCCATCCTCTTGGGGCAGTGAAAAAAGAATGAGCAGGCAGGTGTGTGGAGCCCAAGAGTGAGCTCCCTTTTCTAAACAACTTCCAAACATTAAGATCCAAGGTTTACTGAGGGAAGAGGATGCAGCTTCGTTTGACATTCTGTGACTTCCCAGAATATTTGATTTCTTTTCTCCATAAGAACAGGTAATTGAGCTGGCTTTTATTTGAGGGTGCTCAAATGGAAGGAGGCAACTTGTAATCTGCCACCCACTCCTAGTTCTTGTTTTTAAAGATACTTCCCGGGAGCTGCACAATTCAGATACGCTAGAGAAATACACTTTTGAAGATACCATCGCCACATCTTTAAATACCATTTCTTTATACTTACTATTCCTCCTTTATGTTTACTAAACAAAATCTCTTTGGGTACATGCTAGTATTCTCCAGGTTCAGGTTTGTAAATAGTTATTCAGCTCACAGTAAGAGTTGAATGTGAGCTAAACGATACTAGGTAATAATTTATCGAAAAAAATTAATTGTGTTAAGAACACAACAGGAGATTCTGTTTGTGTTTCTCATTTCCTCTCTCAGTGAGACAGCTCCTGTGTCAAGGTACCTGAATGCAACACTCCAAAAGGCCTCATAAATAATACAGGGACGCTCACACTTGCTGCATAATCATTACAATTTTGTGTTGCAAGCAATCAGATCACCCCCTCTGATTAAGTGGCCACTGTGGCAACCTGTCAGAGCTCTTCCTTTTCAATGATAATGCTAAACCAAATGACAAACTGAAAAGCTACAATTGCTCTCTGCTTCCACCAAATAGAGAATAAGGGAGAAGATTTCACTTCAGGAAGGGCTGGGTCCTTTAGGTCACCTTCTGATAAGTCAAACTCTGGGTAACACTGGTAAGTCTATCCAATAACCTAGCAAGAAGGTAGTTAGCAGTGCCTCAGCTGCCATCACACCTGGGCAAGGCACTGTGTGGGGCATATTTTAGAACATTCTACAAGGGAGACATAAATATCCTCTCTACATGGAGATGGGTCAGAACAGGAAGCAGCAGAACTAGGAGACTTACTGAAACACCTAACCCACTCACTCAAAACATGGTTACCAAGCCCCTTCTGTGTGCCAGGTGCCATCTTGGCTCTAGGGTCACCGCATGAAGAAGACACACCCCAAATTAGAAAATTCACATACTACCTAAAATGTAGACAATAAAGTAAGTAATTCACACAGCATGTCAGATAACTACATAAGCTATTAACCAAAGAGAAGGAAGATAATGTTCAGGAGAGGTCATTTCTGGGAAGGTGATATTCAAGAAGAGGACTGAACTGAAGGAAAAGTTCTAGGCAGAAGACAGTGGAAATGCAAAGGCCAGATGCAGAAAGGAGTTCACAGTTCTAAGATACTTTAAGAAGAAGCCAGCAGGAGTGGTGCAAAGCACGTGATGTCAGACCACTGCAGGGGACATCAACTTCCAAAGGTACCTCAGGGTATGGCTCTATGTGGGAAACGCATGCTAGGTCATTTTGGATGTGGAGAAAAGATAAGGACATATACTTTTAAAAGGTGTCTGTGGACTAGATAAGAATGGCCTGGAACAARAGGTGGAGGCTATCCAGCAGCAGTCTAGACAAAAGCTGACAGTGACTAGAACATGGTAAGGACTCCATGTAGACCCTACATGCACAAACAATGACGCCCCCACCCCCCACCCCAATGGCCTCTGTACTTCAGACAACATGAGCCAAGATCTATGTTGTAGTTGTAGCAGCTAATAACCTAAGAGGAACCCTTCCCCTTTCACAACCTTGAATGGCTGTCAAGTTACTCTGGAAAAATACCATATCCTTTAGCCTGGTATTTAAGTTCTTTAAACATCTCAATCTGGCCCCCAACCTTTCTTACACTACTTCCTCATGTACATGTACTGTGCTCTAATGGGAAGGATCTGTGCAAATTCTCAACAAAGCCTGCTTCTTTTGCCTCTTGTTCATATAGTAACTGGTTCCCAACTGTAAGCCCCTAGACCATTGGGAAACAAAACACCCCCTCCATGGGGAGCCTATCAAATGACCAAGCAGACAACCAAAATGGAGTGCCTCTACACGATGACTGCATCAGGAGATCCTGCCTGGAACCTCCCCTGAATTTAACAACACTGAAAAGTTCTGCTTGTAAGAAGAAAGGGACAATGAAAAAAAGACCACCAATTTTTATCTGACAGAGCTTCTAGGGATGGTAGTGTGTTGGAGAGAATAAAATTTTTATTGCAAAAGGAAAAAGTAAAGAATAAAATATAACTAGAAAGCACTCATTTTTTTCATTTATTAAAGTATTTATCTTAGCATTCAGGTGCTAAGGATACAAAGGTAGAAACATACCATGTTCTCAAAGAGTTTACATTCCATTGGAGAGAAGATAATGCAAATGAGCAATGACCATACAGTTAAGTAAAGTACAGTCAGTAGGACAAGAAGAAAGATAGCAGAGGCCCGCTAGGGAATAGAGAAGCAACCACCCAGGAGAAGATACATTGTTTTGTCATATTTTGGATCATGGAAACTAAAAAAAGAAAATTTTAGAACGACTGAGGAAATCAAGTATATAATGAATAATAGATATTATAAAATCACTCATATTCTTACTATGATAATGGTACTATTATTATGACAAAGATATAAATACTGAAGTTTGTTTGGTTTTCTTTTTTATTTTGGGTGGTGCTGAGGACTGAACCCAAGGCCTCATGCATGCCAGGAAAGCACTGTACCAACTGAGCTATATCCCCAGCCCGATACTTAAGTATTTAGAAGAATCCTAATATCTACAACAGTTTTTATTTACATATATGTAAATATACCTAGTGTAGCAAAATGTTAAGTATGAATTTATATTGAAGGTATACAATTGTTATTGTACTATTCTTTCAAAATATATTTTTTTAAAATACAGAGATGTGCTAGGTATGGTGTATACACCTGTAACCTGAGCAACTCAGGAGGCTGAGGCACAAGGATCTCAAATTTGAGGCCAGCTTCAGCAATTTGGCAACACCCTGTCTCAAAAAATAAAAAATGAAAAGGGCTGGGGATAGAGCCCAGTGGTAAAGCATCCCAGAGTTCAATCCTCAGTACCAGAAAGAGGGAGGGGGGAGGCGGGGAGGAAGGGAGGGAGGAGTAGGTGTTCTAGTAATTCCTGCAACTCAGAGGATGGGGCTGGTTACTCATGGATCATACACCCCACTAAAACACTCTAGCAATGACTTAAAGACAGGTGGGGATGGCAACAAGAAAAAACAAAAAGCCAGATCAAAAGGTAGCCTCTGTGATAGTATAAGCAGGCAATGACCATGCTCTTCAGGGCCAAGGCAAGGAGGACCCCCATTTAAGGAGGTATGACTGGTAGGACAAAGTGACCTACTGGGTATGAGAGAAAAAACGGGGAATGTCAAGGACCATCAAGGGAATACAGGAGGTTTAGCCAATCGAGAGAGCAAACTGTGCTCTGGTTTCTACCTGTCTGAAGTCCCCTTGTGACACAGAGATCAAGCTGTCTTGAACACTGTTGAATAAGTGGCTCTCCAGCATAGGAAAGTAGAGGAAGAGATTCTTATGCCAGAAGTCCCTGGATCCTGCACTTGCTTCCTCACTCCCTCAGGTCTCTAACCAAAGGTTATCCTGTCAGGGAGGTGTGATCTCTCTCAGTAAGATCTAGAGCAGCCCTCCACACCACTGCCTAATTTACCCACAGCAGTTCACAACACTAACTGGTTTTCACTGGTTACCTACCCCCATGGTAATCAAAGAAGAAAGGCAGATACATCCTTGGTTTTGTTGACCACTATCCTCAGTACCCACAACAGGAACTAACTAACATACTGCTGGGACTCAACAGTTGAGTGAATAAACAGGGATTTGGTCAGCAACACCACATTGACAGCAGCTGTAATCATGGATTACATGGTTACATGGACAGGCTCCGGTCAATTAGGGAGAGACTGGAGTGTCAGTAGAATGGGCTGAGAATAGAGATCAGGGTAACGCCCATGCTTAAGATTGCTGAAAAAGATTAGGGAACTACCCTAGGAAATAGCAGGACAAAGTGCAACCCACAAAGCAGGAAGAGGACTTAGGTGGGCCAGGCAGCAGGGTCTGTGGAGTGCAGCTCAGGTACGAGTCATATACCCCCCACCCCACTGTTAAACACAGGCTGGGAGAGCAGCACAACCTGATGTCAATCAAGAAATGTATGGACATAGTTCTCTGATAGAGTGCCCAAGTATTCCTTAAATTCAAGCAACGTGCTCTGAGTTAAACAATATCTCCAACCAGATTTTACATTTTGTCTAAATCAGATGTTTCCCTCTCCTCACCCATTCACTCATGCATTCACCACAATTTTGAATTTCCCTCTTCTTCTGTTTTTTCATAGGAAGTTTTTCTTTTAAGCCTAAACATATATCTGCCTATTATGAATGTGAATTATAATGTGGTGGACAAAACCGGACCAGGAAACAGGAGGCCTGGATTCAGAATCTACTGGTTACTAGCAAGAGAAACTGTCCTGAGCCTTACAACTCACTTGGGTCTCAAAGACACTGACAACATGGCAATAGCAGTAGCAAGCCTGGCACCTACCAGGTTCATGACAAGAAGGTACATTCACTAAGAAATATTCTATACATTATTGTCATTATATATCATTTGTTTACCTGCACTATTTATATACCTAAACCATTTACAGGTAGCATTCGATTCAATGCTAATAACTAACCTAGATGTGGCCACTGATTTCCTTTGACAGAGGAAGAAACTGAGACTCAGGGAGATTTAGAAATCAAAGTTCCATAGCTATTAAGTTTTGAGCTGGGGTTTAATCTTGGTTTTTGTTTTGTTTTGTTGCACTAGGGATTGAACCCAGTGGCCTTTTACTACTGAGCTATTCCCCAGAATTTTTTTATTTTTGTCTGCTTTACTTATTAGTATCAGGGATTAAAGCCAGGGGCACTTAACCACTGAGCCACATTCCCAGTCCTTTTTACTTTTTATTTTGAGACAGGATCTCACTAAATAGCTTAGAACCTCACTAAGTTGCTGAGGCTGGCCTTGAATTTGTGATCCTCCCTCCTCACCTCCCAAGTCACTAGGATTTCAGGCATGTGCCAACATACCCGGCCAGACGGTTTTTATTTGAGGGGTCTCACGAAGTTGGTGAGGCCGGTCTCAAACTTGGGATCCTCCTGTCTCAGCCTGAGTTGCTGGGATTTCAGGTGTGAACTAACACACCCAGCTTAATCTCATATATTTGAAGCCACTGCCCCAAACTGTTGCTTGCACAATAATACAAAGCTACTCTGTAAATTTACTTTCTATATGCATCTGTAAGTTAAAATTGAGCAACAGCAACAATAAAAGCAGAGAAGGTATATTTCYATGGCTGCCTTTTCCTAGAAATGAATCTACATGTGAAGCTTTTGAATACTCCCTGGCCAGGAAAAAGGTGACCAGGAGCTAACCATGTCCCACCAAGTTAAGAAAACACATGCTAGAATGATTAGTTACAGCTGAGTAACAAGGGTGGCGGGCTTTCTCAGAGAATAAGTTGTCAGCCTGCTAGAGTGAAAGGGGCTGCAGAATCTCTGGGGCTGTCTGGAGGGCTGGTTCATCAATAACCTACCATGTGTTAAGCAGTCCTATCAGCAGAGGGAGCAGAGGAGGTTTCTGAGCTTTTCACTGTGAGCCAGAATGGAAACCAAATGAGAGCCCAGTTTTCACTTACTGAAGTCACTCAGCAATATGTCACATGGCATTTGCTCCCAAAATAAGGGTTTGAAATAAGACAGGGCCCTGCATAGACATACCTACAATCTATTTTCATGTTTAAATCATGTCACTTCCTTTAAAATTACAAAATTATAATCTTGGGACTGTTATTGATAGCAGGGTCCTATAATTAGGGACAACTATCAAAATAAGTCAAGATACTTCTTTCTCAACATAGCAAAAGAGCAGGCAGATGTTCTCTCAAATAGAAACAAGCCAAAAAACTAAATATAACACCATCAGATGAAAGAGGTTACAAATTATAAGCTAAATTAATGCATTGTAGGAACCTATAAGGATGCTAAACTCCCAAGGTTTTTGCAAATGTTAGGTGTCACTGACTAAATATAGAAAGAATAAGAAAAGCTGAGAAATGGGATTGCATAAGCAGAGAGTAAGAGAAAGCCCAGTGGCACAGAACAAATTTTTAAAGCACATTTCTTGTTCATGAGTATAAAAGCAATAAAACAAAAATGGTTAAAACATGGACATGGCTTTACCACCACCAGTCAGCTCCTTTCACAGTGATTGTCAAAGGCATGACCCTGGAGCCAGTGAAAGCAGACAATGGATGGGAAAGAACACTTACTTTTTGGCAAATCCCCAGTACTAGAGGCTGAAACTGTCCTGCTTCTGTCATGCGATGGACTGCTTTCCTCTTGCTCAGTAAGTGGAGATCCCTCAGAGAGCACAGAGCCACAGGCCACAGGTTCTAAGGGCCCAGAGAACAATGAAGTGGAAAACTCTGGAAACTGCGACTCTGGAATCTTATGTTGTCCATTTGGCAATTCACCATTGAATTGTTCGTAGGAGCTGCTATATGTGTAATCACTTTCTGCATTGGGCTCATCAAGGTTATACTCCTCAGGATTTGGGCAGTCATCTTCATCATCCTCTTCATCCTCCAGCTGCTGTTCCAGTAAGAATGGACCATTCTCAATGTGGCCATTGGTTTTGGGTGACTCAATCCATGTAGGGTCTATATTCGCAAGCTCCTGTTCAACATCATCTTCATCTTTCTCAATGTTTTCTTTCTCAGTGTCTTCTTTCTCTTCTTGGTCCTCAGCTTCACCTTAAAAAGTTCAGGGGTTAAGAATTAGGCCTTGGTACTCTCTTTGACACAGTGGCATGAGGTACTTATGTCCTTTGACAAGATATACTTCTTAATGTGCTTAATTTATGTATCACACAGTCAACACCTCTTGGCTTTCAGGGTAAACCCTGTAAGCTTTCTAAATCTTATTTTTCATTTATTTAACTTATTTATTAGTCGAGTCTCCTTAGAGGAAGTTAGCATTGAGGGAAAATAATTTTATAAGTAAAGTTGGATTTCTATTTCTACCCTCTCCCGAACCTTCAGAAAAAGGTCTGTGATGTGTTAGATCGGCAAAAATTTAATCACAAAATAAAAAGAAGGGGCCATTATTAGCATGGATAGAAACATGGTGTTTTCCATTTTAAAAAACTACTCTGCGGTGTTAACTAATGTCTGTCATACATTTTTATTAATGAACTACAGATTGAACAGGTTGCTTCCCATACTGTCCATTAAGAAGACAGAGAAACTCTTCCTTAGTATCCAAAGCAGCAGCATAAAGCCCACCTCTGTGATGCTCCCAAGACCCCATCAACCCTGACTCCGGGTGCCACTGACCATCGTCTTTAGCAGTCTCTTCCTCGGTTGCCTCCTCTAATCCTGCCGCTTTTAGTTTCACCTCTGGGCAGTACTCATCATCTTGCTCATTGGAAGGTACAGCGGAGGTGATGTTTTCCTCTATTATTTTTCTTTCGGCTTCTCGCTCCAATTCCTCTATCTCCTGAAGGCGTTTTTCTAATAACTCAGCCTGCCTCTTCTGTTTCTTTTTCAGCTTTTTCTTCTTGTTTTTAGATATTTTTCCTATCTACAACATGTTAAGAAAATACCATAGGTCAGTCGGCTCCTTTTTAAAACACCATATAATAGCGAAAGTGCTGGCAGTATGGCAAACACTAACCATTTTTTTCACGTCATATTCAATTAAGTTCACAAACCCAGAGAGAAGCATTATGGTGAAAGAGAAAACAGTCTAGCTAATATCAGTGCTGGCTAATATCAGGTCTTACCCTCAGAGCAGTATACCTCCTCATCATTTCAATTCTAAGAGAATTGAATCACTGAAACACTTGGAAGCTCCTCTTGAAAGTTTTATTTGTTGCTGCCTTATACAAAGTTACATCCTTCTCACCTCCTTATTGACAAAAAGAAATGTTTGCCAAAATAGGGAGACAAGGGCTGGGGTTGTGGCTCAGTGGTAGAGCGCTCGCCCAGGATGTGCAAAGCACTCGGTTCGATCCTCGGCTAAATAAATAAATAAATAAATAAATAAATAAATATGCCCGGCCACAACTAAAGAATAAACCTAAAAAAAAAAAAAAAAAAAAGCAGTGCTGGGRAAATAGCTCAGTTGATAGAGTGCTTTTGCCTTGCATGCGCACCATGGAGTGCCGGGGTGGGGAACAGGTAGACAATAGCACTGACTGAGTCTGCCTCACACTGAGTTGTTATCTGCAAACAAAACAACATGAACTTTAAGAAATGAGCCTATGAAGTAAAAGGGTGAAAAATCAAAAACCCTAAGTTTTTGCCTGCTTTCAGCTCTGGCCATCTGACTTGGAAAGCACAGGCATTAAGAACCTCCAACATTTCACAGAATTAGTGAACTCAAGCCGCAAACCAAGAGAACACTGTGGAAATGACTCAGGCTCCCCAACTGGCCAGGAAGCCAAATTCTCACAGCTCCTCCTTACACTGAAACTTCCTTCTAAAAGGAAGGCTGCTTCATTGAATACAGTGTTTCTGACAGGACCACAAAATGGATAATACTCTCTCGTACTTACACAACTGTCTAAGAAAAAAAATTAGAATATCAGTGTCGGAAAAATAAGTAACCGAGAAGCCAATGAGAAGTAATATAAACTGATTTTGGAATAATCATACTTCAAACTCTTAAGCATCACCTCACAATTCAGGAGATTCTGCCAACAGTACCTAGGAAGAAGCTCTTACAACAGCTTTGATGACTCTAACTATGCAGAAATCACTTCAACTTAAAGAATTTTACATACTTAAGGATACAGAGCATTTATAAACATGTCTACCTTCTTAGTTAATATATATTAGAACATTTGTTATCATTTGAAAAGCTTAGTGAATAGTTCCTTTTAACATGCTGAATATAAGTATATATTTAAGTACTTACGGGTTTTTGCTGTGGAGCCGTACTCACTAAAACAATATAAAACAAAATGGATGTTAGATGAAAATTGACACATACATTTGGGTAATTCAAACTGGCAAAATGAATTAATTGCAATCTTCTAATGGCTATCCAACTTCAAAAACTGTTAAAAATCAAGAGCTTCTTTATTGTAAGGATCTAAAGAAAATGTATTCAACTCAAATGACTGACCCTTAAAGGGCAGAGTAAAAGCTGTTCATACTAAGTCATTTCTATTATTTATTTAAACTTAAATGACAATCAGTTTCAAAAAGAGTCAATAATCTCAAGCATCCACTATCAGTTTAAGAAAATGAAGAAGAGTTCACAAATCATATAGTCATCAGACCAAATTTGTTTATAGATAATGAACAATTTAGATGAGAAAATGTACATTTTATTTCCGAAATCCACTTGGCAAATCTCATACAAAAAAAACTAAGCTAAATAGTACAGAGTTTTTATTAGTAACTACACAGTAATTTGTGACAATTATTCCAAATCACATTAGACCCCTAACCAGAAGCAAAAACTTGACAGCCTGGTTCCATGATCTAAAGAAACACCCTAAGAGTAGATAGTAAAAGGAGTAAGAGCCCCAGAGCCCTAGTCACAGGAGTGTTAGCCCTGTACAACTGCCTGACCACACACCAGGGCACAGATAATGTAAAAAGAGCATGCCAACACTACCATTACCGAATTCTGTGAAATTCGAGGGGGTGGGGGGAAAGCCACCTTTATATGCCAACGCTCAAGTCATGTGGTCATCTTTCCTCTATACCCTTAGGTCTTTCGTATCTAATTCCAAAGTCTCTAATTAAATTCAGACTGATAGAGGTATGTTAACTGAAGAGAGGGAAGCATTCTAACAAATTAAGCTAGAAAAAAATTCCCATGACTATCTTCCTCCCTACAGAAGTGGGTAACACAAGAAAATGCAGATACAGATAGATGAAGCAACAGTTAAGAATTTAGGTGGTCTTTTAATGGAGGACACAAAGATAAATAATTCAAATATTAAAATAAAATGCAATTGGAAAATCGTCTAAAGAAAATGTTCCAGTTATTTCCAGCAACCAAGCTCTTACAAAAAGTTCCTAATTTGCATATACATATTTGACTCAACTGCCTTCAGTGTACAACTCTGCAAGTTCAAAATGCCCTCAAGTCAACTGAAATGAAGAAAGATCAGCTCAATCAGCTCCCTCACCTGCAGACCCTGAAGGAGGAGGAGCACCTGCTTTCTGCCACTCAGTGGCTTCGGCTGCCATTCTTCTTACATATGCATCATCCACACACATCAAGATGTTTTCCGGCTTTATGTCAGTATGAATAATCTTGCACTTACTGTGTAGATAATCTAACCCTTGAAGAACCTAGTTATAGTAAAATCGAAAGAGGAAAGGAGCTATCAATACTTTTATTATTTAATTTTTATGCATTTGCAAGATAGGTGATGCAATCACACAGCACAAAATTTGACAGACACAAAAGGGCATTTAGTTAACAAAACAAAAACAAAACCCTCCCCACCTTTGCCCCCAATCCAGCTCTCCCTTCCATAAGCAACCAATGTGTAACACTGCACAGATAATTTATGCTCGTGGAAGCAAATTTCTATATGTACATCTTTAATAACAACTTTACTGAAAAAGAATTCACATGTATAATTGATCATTTTAAGAGCACAATGTTGTTTAGATGTGCAACCATCACCCCTTCCTAATTTAGAACGTTTTCATCACCCCAGAAAGAAACTTCATACCATTAGTAGTCACTCCCCATCTCCCTCCACCACCACCAGCTCTGGTCAATCACTAATGTGCTTTCTGATTCTGGACATGATATTTAAAATGAATCATACAGAGGGATTTTCCAACTGGCATAATGTTCAAGGCTCACTCTTGTGTAAAGTATATCCATATTTCATTTCCTTTCATTGCCAAATGATATTCTGCTGTGTAGAATACAACATTGTGTTTATCTATTCATTAGATAGACATCTGGATTGTGTCCACATTTTAACTATTGAAAATAATACTGCTATGTATATTCATGTACAAGTTTTTGTAGGGACCTATCTTTGTATTTTCTTGACTTAGAGGGAAATGTTGGGACATATGACAAGTATACATTTAGCTATTTGATGAAGTACCCACACTGATTTCTATAGTGCTTATTCCTTTTACATTCTTACCAGCAACATATGAGGGTTCCAATTTCTTCATCCTGACCAACATTAACTATCTTTTTTATTGTAGTCACACTAGTGGGTATGAAGTGGTATCTCATTTTAGCTGCTGTTGTTTTGAGACAGGGTCTCACTCTTTCTCAGGCAGGTCTTAACTTCCTGGACTCAAGCAATCCTCATGCTTCACCATGCCAAATAGCTAGGGCTCCAGGAATGTCATCAAACCCAACTTGCATTTTTATTTTTTTAAAAAAATATTTATTTATTTATTTATCTTTTAGTTTTTTTTTTTTTTTTAGGTGGATACATTAGTTTGTTTTTATGTGGTGCCGAGCATCGAACCCAATGCCTCATGCATGATGGGCGAGCGCTCTACCACTGAGCCACCACCCCAGCCCCCAGCTTTCATTTTTTGTTTTGATTTTTATATTGCTAGTGGTTAATGATGCACATACATTTTTAATATTTCAGTAAAAGGAAGACATAATTTTTTTTTTTCCCCGTTTGGTGGTTCTGGGGACTGAACCCAGGCCTTGTGCATGCTGGGCAAGCACTCTACCAACTGAGCTATATCCCCAGCCCCAAGAAGGATATAATTTAACCAAAAAATAGCTCTGATATCTAATAGCACTACAGCCTTAAATTTAAAGAAAACATAAACCAAAACATACATGCACATCACCTCAAACCAAACAAAACCTTACAGAGTGCCAGCGACCTCAATGCAAGGGCACTGTTTCTCTGCAATTATTTCCACAGAAAAATTAATTTTTAGAATATACTTTTCCTTATATTAGAAATACAAATATCACCATTTAAATATTAAGTCATTTGGGCATCTTGTCCACAAGAAACTGGAAATGTAAAACAGATAAGCAAAAGATACACTGCATCATCCAAAACTAGGTAACACCCAGCAAAATCCCAATGTGTCTGCCTACCATGAATAGCTGGCTAAATAACCTTCAAGGATGAAACATTACAAAGTGAGAAGGAACCAAATTTTTTGAAAGAAAATCAGTTTATCTGTCTCTTGAACAGGGATTACACAGGTATTAAAACATCTATGATCACTTAAAATAACTTTTCATAGGAAGCATTTTCACGTGAATTCACTGAAACGATATCATCTGAACTCTGATCACAGGCTATGAACTATTTGAGGTGTTTTAAATACAACAGTAAACAGAGTTCTGCAACTTCAAAGCCCTTAACAGTTCTCCTGTCCTCATAGAGCTTACACATTCTTGGTAGTGGCTGGGAGTAAAGGGATTAATTAAAACACACACACACACACACACACACACACACACACACACAAAGATGAATCACGGCACAATACCAAAATACTGACAAGTTGTTAGTACCAGTAAAATGGGGGAATTAAAAAAGCCTAAACAAATGCTTCTGATTTTTAAATTTAGAATACTTACTGTTTAAAATAATACATCAATTAAAATGTTTAATTATGTTTAGAATGTCAAAAAACCAAAAGTCAGACAGACATCATTATGTATATACAAAAAGTACAGGGTATATACCTGAAGGGAACATAATCCAATGGATCTATATGTGGTTCACTGACATTTCATGTATCTTCCTTGTGCAAACTGAGTAATAATGTGGAATTTTTAATCCAAACAAGAGAGACTCTGAGAATTACCAGATATTAATGAACAGGCACAAGGAACAAAATTTTGGAAAATTTTGAAACAGCTGATATTTATTCCAACTTAAATTTCAGTTATCAAAAATTAACTCAAGGGGCTGGGGATGTGGCTCAAGCGGTAGCGTGCTCGCCTGRCATGTGTGCGGCCCGGGTTCGATCCTCAGCACCACATACAAAGATGTTGTGTCTGCTGAGAACTAAAAAAATAAATAAATAAAATATTTTTWAAAAAATTAACTCAAAGTAGAAATATTTACAAATTTACTTGGAGTTAATATTTTGCTTTCCTAAAATATCTTTTAACCATCTTTCATGAACAAGTTGCCCTTATCTATCCACCTTGGTTTCTTTCCATTTTAAAGATGTTTCACTGTGTGGGAGGCTACACAGGTAAAAGATACTGTAACTCAGTACACAAATGTGTTAACATATGTTCCCAAAGATAACAATGTGCTCAAGATAAGCAAAGTGTTCTCTGGAGAACTTAAGGTCCCAGACTTCTTAAAATATTGGCTATAGCACTCAGCTGGGCGAACTTTCCTTGGGAAGCCCTGACTATAATGTCTGACAAAGAACACAAGGGAAAGACTCTACCACTGGGACAAAATAAGTAAGTTGATTAATAAATGCAGATCATTTAGGAAGTGTAGCAGCGTTAAAATATGACCTGCTCTTAAACTGTTACACATACATTCTTTACCCAAGGCAGGTGGTTAACCTCTGTGAGCTTCCATTTTCATGTCTCAAAAGGGTAAAAACACATGAATCATACACAAACATAGTAAGAATCAGACATAAAAACATAGTCTACAAAACAGGAACTAGGAACAAATGGTAAAACTGAACTAAGTTAGATGACTTGTATTTATACTGACTACATAACCATAATTTCCCAAGTCACTTACTAAACTTCTCTGGTCTCAGCTATTTCGATCTCTAATATATTAAAAGAGCTTTGTTGATTTTTTTAAAGTAATATTACATGAATAAAAATTTGATTCCTTAATTTTTTAAAATTCTGAACATTCATCTTTTTCTAAAAAAAAACACAATATTTTGTTATAGCTAAGAACAACAATTTAATTTTCAAAAGCAGCATTTTGTTTGTAAACAGTGGTGTTTAAAGTAATAAAGTATCCTAGACCAACACTGATGAGAAATCTTACAACCATTTACACAGAATAACCATGATGGAGGAGAAATAAAAATAATGAATCAAGCTTCGTGCCAAAGGATGGATCTCCCCCTGAAAAATCTGATTAAAATTCAGGAACCTTTAGTATTTTTTCCCTGTCCCTTTTTATTTTATGAGTCAGGATCTCCCTAAGTTGCCTGGCTGATTTAGAACTTGTGAGTCTCCTATCTCAGCCTTCTGAGTACCTGAGATAACAGGTGTGTGTTACTATGCCTAATTTATTAATTTTTCTGTTTTCTTCATTTGTCTAATTAATGTATGTTTTTCTCAATTGCCTAAAAAACATATTTGGCGTATCATCAGCAGAAGGCAGCAGAAGCTGTAGAGATCCCTTTGCTGGAAAAGCCGAGATCAAACCAACCACAAATAGGCCAGGGGAAGGGTCAGTCATCAATCATCCATTGAAAGGAGCCAGATCACATACTTCAAGAGTAGGTGCCAGGTTTCTCCATGTGAAGTAGTGCAGAATCCAAGGCAGGAAAAAAATCCAGTTTCCGATGTCAGAATTAACTAGCTACAAGCTCAGAGAAAGTCCCTTCCTGTCCCTAAATTTCAAATTTACCTGTAAAATCTGGAACATGGACAAGATGGTCTACTAGATTTCTTTCTATACACCAACAGCCATTCCAGATATCATTTGCCACAGGTTTTAACAACATAATCTACCCCTCTCCAACATGACTTGCTTGAAACAAGTCCTGTAATCTTGCAGATAAAAGGAGGAACAAGTGTGGAGCCTATGTTAGAAGGCTATCTTCCTGACCCATCAGTGTCCAGAGAGTGAAGCGCCCCTCCCTCCAAACTGTAAACTGTGAAGAGTGAAAAATGAGAGCACCTTTCCAAACTGTGTTCCGACTTTGGTAACAATGTGAGAACTTTCTTCCTACCACACCTAAACATAGGACGTTGGGAGATGAAACTGCCTGGCTCCTACCCTGTTGGTAACAAGCTAATGAAGCTCCAAGGGAGTCCCAACAGGCAGCCAGATGGGCTGGCCCCAAGCAGGAGTCCTTAATTTAGATATTAATTACTTGTGGGTGTACAGGAAAACACCAGAGGGCTTTCCACAAGCCCAGAAAATTTCATACTAGCAAAGCTCTTCCTCAATAAGACAGACATAAGGCAAATCCTGCAAAATGGTTGTGAAAACCATCATGTTAACCTGAATGAATAAGTATGGGAAATACTTATTATAATAAGAGAGTACAAGAATGAGACACATGCTCAGACAGAAAAATTCTATGGACACTGTATTTGCTCTGAAATCTCTAAATTGTGAGAATGAATAAGAAAATCCAGCAGCTATACTGCTGAAAGGAAG